CCTCGCATGGAGGGTGGGCCCTGCCCCCCGCACGCAGTGTTCTGCATGCAGAGGGCCCCGCCGGGCACACCCCTGGGCACCCCTTCAGAGAGGACAGGGCTGGGAGGGTGGGGCACGTGGAGGGCAGCTCTGTCACTGTTAAATATTGGAGAGGGGGACGTGGCCTGCAGCCACCCCAGGTGGAGGCTGCCCAGTACCTACAGGCAGAATGAAAGCCGTGAGAGGGGGCAGCTGGCCGGTGTACTTGTCGATCCACTGCTCCAGCTCCAGGACGCGCCCCGACCCAAATGTTGTGCGTCCTGAGGAGCCAAGGAGTAGGACACGGCCATGAGGCCCGTCGCCCCGAGCATCAAGGAAACCGCCCGGTGCCTTCCAAACCACTCCCACGACCCTCTCAGGGTCTGTGGGCCAGGCTGACGGGGTCCCACGTGACACCCAGGAGAGTCCCCGCTCAGTCCAACCCCCGCAGGGCCCTCCCAGTACACACAGTGGCTCAGAGAGCGAATTACTTAAGTGAGCCTCCCGGGCGGAGGAGCGGGGTGTCGCCAGGGCGGAGCCAACGTCCTGCAGGGAGCACTGGATCTGGGGAAGCAACAGAAGGCGCGAGTGAAGATCTATCATGGTTCCTGGCTCCCCATGCAAAGGTGCCACCTGACAGCAAGGCATGCAGGTTGGCCTGGTGAGGGTGTCAGAGCTTTAATCAGCAGCACTGAAAGGCTAATTAGCAAACTGCCTGAACTTTCAGCGTGCTGGACGCCAGCCCCGTGGAGAGGAGACCTGGCTCGCGTGGGGACAGCTGGGTTAGGAAGACAATGAGCGTCGAGCACCCAGTGACGGCCAAGAGGAATCTCCTCGCCCCGATCCTGGGCGGTTTATCTCAGAGGCTGTCATGTGCACTGCAGGCTGCATGCAGCATCCCTGGCCTCCACCCACTAGCTGCCAGGACCTCCACCTCCAGCTGTGACAAGCAACCATGTCTCCAGACATTGTCAAATGTCCCCTGGGGGGCAGAGACCAGGGACAACCCTTTACATTTCCTTCTCTTGGAGCAATCCTCACCACTTGCCTGGGAGGGAGGATTATCTGGGTGTCCCCATTTTACAGATGGAGAAACTGAGGCTCAGAGGAAGAGTGACTAGTCCCAGGTGACACAGAGAGGAAGCGATGATCAAATGCCTAATCCAGTTATGGTCACCAGGCCTCAGGGATAAACAAGAATTGTTACTCACTTTCTCAAGCTCCTCAGCAAATGGGTGGCCCTTTTCCGCAATTAATTCCATAGCAAACCTATGAGGGAAAAGGAAAAAGAATCTGCCTCTAACATAACATCCCCAGGCCCTGCTTTGCTGTAAGGCCATGGTTCTCAGGTGACGGGCCATTCAGCTAACTTGGCTATGACAGCCTCGGTGTTATTTCCTGCTGGCAATAAGAACCTCACAACCTTCCACTTGGTTAAGGGTATTTGTTTCTCAAAACGCCTTTTCTTATACCCATGACTCATCCAGTCAACAATGCTTGTTCAGTGCCTACTCTGGCCAGGTCCAGGCGATTCCATGGTGAGCTCTATACAGCAGGAGGAGAAGACATGGACTGACTATCACATGACTGAAGGTGAACTTGCAAACTGAGGCCAGTGCTCTGAAGGAAAGGGCTTGATTCCTGGAAAACCTGGCCTTGGCTAGGGCTCAGGAGGGCTTCCTGGAGGAAGCGATGCTGCAGGTGGGACTTTAAAGGCCGAATAGGAGTTTCCTGGGAAGGAGCAGGTGGGGGAAGGAAGGTGCCCAGGGCAGGTCAGGCACTGTCTCCTTGGGACTCTGCCCTCCACTTCTGTGCCGTCAGGGTCCTGGCAGGGGACAGAGAGTGCTGCTTTTGAAGGGTTCCCAGGGAAAAGCTGTGCAAAGGGCGGCTAACAGAGCATGGGACGAGTTATGGAAACTGCTAACAGAGGCAAAGATCGGCAAGAGCAGAAGCCTGAGGGGACCAGGGAGGGTCAAAGATGCCCTGGAGCCTGGGGAGAGCTGCTCCTCGGTGGGGGCCGCCACCAGGAGCCACACAGCGGGAGAGAGTAGGCGGGAGCCCAGCTACCGCCAGAGCCACCTGCAGCGGGGAGCCGGGCAACACCCGCACCTCTCGACCCGTCACGGCTCCCGCGGTGCCTCCCACTGGCCGGGCCCACCTGAAAGCCAGAGGACAAAGGAATCAGCATGAAACCACCAGCAGCTGATAAAGGTCAGCCCTGCCCGGGCACAGAGGCAAAGAGAATGGCTTTGGGAGGGCAAGCAGGACACCAGGGCACCTCCCCAGCCGCTTCCTGTTA